TTGCGAAAGGTCTGGAAGGAGGGAAAGGTGCCTACTGACTGGAGGAAAGGTTACCTCGTGAAACTACCAAAGCAGGGAGTCTTATGCCTCACTCTGCAAGGACTGGCGAGGAATCATGCTCCTGTCAACGCCAAGTAAAATTCTGAGTCGCATCATCCTGGAGAGAATAAAGGACACACTGGATACAGAACTCCGCCCCACCGGAACAAGCTGGCTGGATTCAGGTAAAGCAAATCATGTTCTGACGAAATTGCAACTCTACACATCATCATCGAACAAAGCATGGGATGGCAAACAAACCTCTACCTCAACTTTATAGACTTCGAGAAGGCCTTCGACAGAGTTGACCGCGAAGTAATTTGGAAACTACTCCAGTACCTTATTCAACAGCTGTACAACAATGGTACATGTCAAGTGATCCACTATGGAAAACTCACAGAGACGTTTGGAGTAAACACAGGTGTGAGACAAGGGTGCTTATTATCATCAATGATATTCCTGATTGTGGTGGACTGGATTATGCGTCAGATAGTGGGAAACCAGAAGACAGGAATATCCTGGACCGACGTGCTGAATCTAGAAGACCTGTATTTCGCCTGTGGATGATTTATGTTTGATGTCACACAAAATCGAAGACTTACAAGCGAAAACCGACATACTGATCGAAGAAGCCAGCAGCTGGCGAAGACAGGACTCCAGGTGAACATAGACAAGACGGAGGTTATGAAAATAACCAACCAACCACCAACAACAACAACAGCAACATCCAGCGCCAATCACCATCAACGGGAGGGATTGGATAGAGGTTACTTCATTCACTTATCTAGGGAGCATTGTCTCAACTACAGGAAGTCGGAATGGACGACGATGTCAAATCCAGCGAGAATCGGGAAGGCGAGAAACACATTCATCAACCTGAAATCAATCCGGAAATCTTCGTCACACAACTCAGAATCAACAACAAAATTCGGATTTTCAATACAAACAGCGTCAAGTCAGTCAGCTCTTCTATACGGATCAGAAACTTGGCGGGAGGGCGGGTCACAAAGAATATTTCCAACATCCTGTTGCAGACCTTTATCAACCAACAACTGTCTTCGCTGGCTCTATACTGAAGATCAGATGGCCGGCCGGGCCGGAAAGAATCACCAACAAGAAACTATGGGAACAAACAAAACAAGAACCAATCGCCAAACAACAAATATGCAGGAGAAAATGGAGATGGATTGGACACTCGCTGAGGAGGCCACCTGGTGATATCGCGCGTCAGGCCATTGCTCGACTGGAACCCGAAAGGGAAACGGCGAGTGGGATGTCAGTGCAAGGGTGACATGGAGGAGATCGTGTGGAGAGGAGTTGAAAGAGTATGGACTAACATGGATGGAGGTGAAAAGTACAGCAGAAGACAGAAGTGGCAAGTGGAGAGGTGCAGTTGGAGCCCTATGTTCCACTAAGAACCCAAGGAAACAATAATAATTATTATTATTTCCTTGGGTACCGAGTGGACAATATGCCGTCAACAGCATACCTCCATTTTATCCTGTTCTCCAAATGCCTACATAATTGATTCCCCATAATGTCTCATCTCCTACTCACATATCTTCCTGCATGTTACATTCGGATGCCCAACTCATCATTTTCCATTCCGGTCTTACTTGAAGCTCTGGCATGTGATATCACTCAAGGGTCTCCTCAGCTTGCATCCAACAGATCTCTATATTTTCTGACCAATAAGATTCTTGAGTATTCTGTTCCCAGAGTTTCGTATCACGTATCCTTTTTGGCTATCTGATGCTCAGAATCAAGCAAATGAAGGTGGGTGTTGATAAAATTGTGAAGAAGGCTGTTGGAAATGCTTTCGCCGACTCGTCAAGTCTCTGAAGCATTTAGAAGCACTGATTTGAGATTATTGTTCAAATTCGGAATCATTAACTCTACGCTGAGTGAAGCAGATTTCCACACCCCGATTTCAGATAAATGGTCTGTCTCGTCTCACTGATTCTAGCTTTGATATCTTCATCAGTTCTGTCTATAGTTGAAGTGACGCTGCCCTGTTATAAGTGGAAGGAAGAGCCTCCATCAGATTCTTCCCCTTTGTTAGTGATTGTTGGTGTTGCTGATGGTTGCTCATATTCATCAAGTCTGTTCTCGCTGTGTTCACTTCAGATTCTTTCTTCCCTCTTTCATCAATCAACTTTTTGATTCTCACCTGTGGATCTTTAAGTCCAGACCTTCTGGAGCCTTCATATCGGCCCATTGTATTCCAGTCTTGCCTCTCCCCATAGTTTGCTCTATGATCTACTTCACCACAATCAGGAATATCCTCAGAGACAGAGAGTAGGCAGCATCCCTGACTCACTCATGTCTTCGCTCCAAATCCTTCTTCACTCACTTTTCCGTTCTACATCACTTGACACCTAGAATTATCATACAGAGCTGTTGAATTCAATTGATAAATAAATATTAGAGGCACTCCACTCCATAGTGTTGATGAAGCAGTTTCCAAATTACCTCCTCACCATCAACGCTGTCGATGGCGTTTTGAAAGTGGATGAAGTTGAGATAGAGGTTCGACTGGCATTCTATGTTGTTGGCATTCCGATTCTGATGTGTGACGTTGTAGTTTTAATCGCATATGATTTGCTTTTCGTGAATTGGTCTTGTTCTGGAGTTTCGGTGTGTGTGTGTGTTTGGAGTTGTTTTGCATAGAAACATGTCTTAGTCTTTTCAAGGGTGACATGACTGGATATTATGCTTGGTGTGGATGGGAGCATGCTTCCGTCACTCTTCTCTGATAGTTTAACAAGATATTCTTGCATCCAATCAGCATTAATAACTGAATATTGATGATTCGGGTATTAACATCTTTTATTAATAATAATAATTTGCTTTAATCCAAAGCAGTACTTGTGATACAGAATGGAATTCTCAGCATTTCACTACAGTACTGCATCTATTTGGTACATTTAAAAGAAATAAAATTTACAATAAAATAAAATTCTACATAGATTAATGGTCATTTCAGTTAGTTTTTACAACAACATATTGGCATGTCGGTAGCAAAGCCAAAACTGAACAGGGTGTTTGAAGGTGTTAGAAAAGTAGATGCTATCATATTTACTGGCGTAAGCGGTAACAAAAAGGTAGAGATATACAGAGTGTGAAAGAAAGACGAAGAATGATTTAAACAGAGTTTGTAAGGAAGAAAGAATCAAAGCAGCACATAACAGAAAAAGAGAGAGAGAGAGAAAAGGAAAAGAAAGAAAGAAAACATTGTACCTATAAATGATATGAGTTGGAATGACGAGATCCAGTTTTTCTACTGACTATTTAATAAGTTATAGTTATCATGCCTGATGCTTTCTTTATCGCACAGAACACAAGCTAAGTAGGGTATGGTTGAGTTCTTGTACTCGCTAGTCGAGCATATAGTTTTCTACATAGGCTTCTGGTCCTGCCTCATGAGATACAAGCCGAGAGTTGTGAATGAAGAGGGTATTGTGAGTTAGATAAAATGGATTTAGCCCATTTTTCACACAAGTCCCTGTGCCTGTCCACCAGAATATTAACAAGCTGGTTAAGAGGCACGCTGCTTACCCTGCTGACAACCTTTAACATCCTTCGTAATAAGGTAAAGTCTTTCTTCATTAGACCTGGAAAAACTTAGGGGGAACAATAGATAATAATAGGCAGGACCCAAATGTTAACGAATTGTAGGAGTAAGGGTTGGATTATTCCAGAATGTCTTAACTTCTTGATGTAGAAGGTAAGACAAAATATTTTCTTAGAAATCATCAAGATATGAGACGACCAGGAAAGGTCAGAAGATGGAATGACCCAAGATATATATTTAATTTCCAACTCGGTTTCTATTTCAGTGCCATCTATGTTGCACACCTCGTGAGTTCTAACCAGTTTGTTTAGGTCAGATTCGTGCCAAAAGGTGAAATTGACTGTTTGGCATTTACAAGGATTTAAGGTTAAACCGTTTTCCTTGAACCACTGGCTGATTTCTGATAAAAAGCCACTTAGCTTGCAGCAGTCACTTTGATATTTGACAGGCAAAGATACAAACAGCTCGTCATCATATTTGATAAATAAAAGTGTCATTCAAACCCACAAAGTCAATTAGAAACAAGCTTTGTCGGTTGAAGGATCCTGTGGAGCCCTTAAAACAAAACAATTGAGTTTATCTTATATCCTGCGGGAATGATTGTCAGGTCAAATACATAGGTCAGGCTAGTAGAGCAGGAGCAGTCAGACTAGCGAGCATAAAAACCTAGCCTCAAAATCTACATTGGTTGACCTAAATAAGATAAGAAATCTAGAGAACAGTTCAGCCATAGCATTACTTGCAATCACACACAACCATCCAATAGAATGGGATAAGATGACAGTTTTAAAATCTAATGTCACAGGGTAGAGGGGGAGATTGATAACAAAAGCTTTGTTTATCGAATCAACTGCAAATACATGTAATAGGAATGATTCATCACCTGTCCAATGGGATATCTGGAAAATTCTACTACCCCTACGACAAATAGGAGAAGACAAAGAAAACTATAAAACTCAAGTTTCAAAGTCGTGTGATTACAAATGATGACATGATTATGAACAATAAATTTTGTTCGAAACATTGTCATCCAGTAAATAATACTGTTTCACTCACTGTGTGATATATCTAATAAACAAACTAATATGGAATGGATATCGGTAGCCCAAATTGTGCAGGCCGACCACAGATATCAGGTGTGCGTCGGCAGGGGATCGAACCTCGGACCATGTGCATGGTTGGCGTGAGTCCTAACCACTGTGCCACCGACGCACAGCGGTCTACTAAACATCCATGGACTCCCAAAGTTAGAAAACACTGATACGTGTACAGTACTTTTATGTAGTGCCATTGTATCAGTTAGTAATCTATTATAATAAATAAGATTATTACTGGAGTATTTTAAGGTATTATAATTCATAGGATAAAGTTAATATTGATAACTTACCGGAATCACGGTCACGAATTCAAATATACAAAAGCTTATGTACAAAACCTGTAAAATAAAAATCATGAATATACATTTTGGTTGTAGAATTTTTAAAAACAGTATAATTTTTGGTTGCAAAATATCAGTATATTCACGTTTTCAGGTTTCAGTAAAAGGCTAGCTGTAAGACGTCAGAGTTATTACCATACATTTATATACAGTCCTGAGAGTGTTGATGTTAGGTGGTTGAAGGAATTCGGAAGGAAGCCTTGGACATGGGTTTCATGCTTATCGGTACTCATCAGCACCACGATGGTGAGCCATCCATCTTGGTGACCATATTGAATACATGAATGATTGAATGATACCCATCCAGACATGGAAATGAGAACGAACAGTACAGTGAACAGTCTCTTTTCCATGAATTCATTCACTTAGCTGTACAGTCGCAGTTATATATAATCACTTTTTTGTATGTGTGTACATTAGATTTGTCAAACAAGAATAAAAACTAGTTTGAGCTATTGTTTACGTCATCCAAGCTTTGGAGATAAATACATAAAGCCCATAACCAACAAAGAACAACCCATCTCTAGTACCGAAGAAGATGTTGTAAATAAATGTGGCATTGAAAGGCGACTATCTGGCTAATACCCTAACTTAGAGAATGTCAAATGCCCTGAAAAGAACAGTTTTTGTTTCTACATTACAATTGGCATTCCGTTGCCACACAATGTTGTTCAACAACTCTAAAGATAAATTATCGCACTTGACCACCTCTGTGTGTATTTATCAATTCAGTTGCTACAGTGTGGCGAGATATACAGGGTGTTCAGTACACGTTTTATCTAAAAATACTGTCGAAGAACATTATTTCTCCCTCTTGGCTACGAAAAGGTACCAGCGGATCAATAAGAAGTACTATAATTGAACACATATATATTCAATACTAGTCACTCAATACGCAAGAAAAATTCATTCAAAGTTAACTATGAAGTTAAAAGAAGCCTTTCGAGAACTGTAAACATCCGTATACTTTGTATTACCGAGGTGTTAGGGGTTCAGTTGGAAAAAAGCTGACTTATGCACACAGAAGAAACCTCTCCGTCACTTCCTTCTATTATTGTTATTATTATTGTTCCCTTGGGTTCCTAGAGGATCATAGGGCTCCAACTGCACCTCTCCACTTGCCACTTCTGTCTTCTGCTGTACTTTTCACCTCCATCCATGTTAGTCCATACTCTTTCAACTCCTCTCCACACGATCTCCTCCATGTCACCCTTGCACTGACATCCCACTCGCCGTTTCCCTTTCGGGTTCCAGTCGAGCAATGGCCTGACGCGCGATATCACCCGGTGGCCTCCTCAGCGAGTGTCTAATCCATCTCCACTTTCTCCATCACTTTCTTCTACCAAGCACATAATTATAAGTCCAACGGTTATGATTGTTTTGTTATTAATATTATTTTGTGCATTTGACGCGTATGACATTTTTATTCATCATCGTCTTTTTAACCAGCCTTCCGTTTACTCTTTTCACATATTACTTTAATACTAATCTCCTTGTTCCTTCAGTAATATCTAATTAGTTCTAATTATTATTTCAGATAACTTAACCCTAGTTTAAACTTGCTAATCTTGAATGTCCACTCTAGTTACAATTTTGATTGGTCATCAAAATTTTTGGAAATATTTTCATGGCGCAAACAATAACCCAAACTAATTTTTATTATTATGAATTGGTGGATGGTAACTAGCAGTGGAATCCAGGATAACGTGGGTTTTGCCCTGTTTGGGACTCGTCAGCTGGATGTACCTGCATTCCCCAGTGAGTGATGCTCTTCTCATCGAGGCTCGAACTCAGTGCCCATAGTTTCAAACGCCAGCCAAAGCGTTATCCACTAGACCACTTGTACCACGACAGCCACCTCTTGTGCAACGGGTCATATTAATTATTTAATTGAATTTTTTCTATTCAGCTTCCTTCACGTTCCCCAGTGGAACATAGGGCTTCAAGCTAGTGGCTTGAAGTTTCTGTAGCAGTGTTTATTTTACAGGATGGGGTTGATAGCCAACTCATGCCCAACCTTTCCTCTTTACCAGCATTATTTCTGGCTTGGCGAGGTAAAGGAGTGCGTCTGTGGCCGCGGATCGAACCCCGGACCATGTGCATGGTCGGCGATCGTCTTAACTGCTATGCCACCGACGCACACAATTGAATTTTTTAGATTAATTAAATAATTAACATGACCCGTTGCACAAGTGGTGGCTGTCGTGGCCTAAGTGGTCCAGTGGATAACGCTTTGGCTGGCTGGTGTTTGAAACTATGCGCACTGGGTTCGAGCCTCGGTGAGAACATCATCATCACTCAGTAAGAAATGCAGGTACATCCAGCTGACGAGTCCCAAATAGGACGAAATGCGCATCCTCGATTCCACTCCTAGCCACCATCCACCAATTCTATACTAATTAAAGGCCCAGACATCGTCGAAGCATCTGCACAACAAGCCGACATGTCAACCTGACACCGAGAACTTCCCTCCAATCAATCGACGCGAAAATCAAAAATTCAATTCAATAATTAACATGACCCGTTGCACAAGTGGTGGCTGTCGTGGCCTAAGTGGTCCAGTGGATAACGCTTTGGCTGACTGGTGTTTGAAACTATGGGCACTGAGTTCGAGCCTTGGTGGGAGCAGCATCACTCACTGGGGAATGCAGGTACATCCAGTTGCTGACGAGTCTCAAATAGGACGAAATGCGCTTTATCCTGGATTTCACTGCTAATCACCATCCACCAATTAAATTATAATCACATGCTCAGACATCGTTGAAGCATCTTCACAAGAAGCCAACAGACATGTCAACCTGAGACCGAGCACTTTGGTCCAATCAGTCGACGGGAAAACCTAAAAAATTCAATTAAAATTTTTATTATTGTTTAACAAACCTAATGTGCGCACATGTACAAAAAATAAATATATATCTATAATTGCGATTGTACAGCTCAGTGAATGAATTAACCGAAAATAGACTGTTCACTGAACTGCTTTTATTCTCATCTCCATCTATAGAATTCACGAGACCTTCATCACCCTGAGATCAGTTTGAAAATCTGCTGTACTGACCATAAACAACAAAACTTAGATTTTCAGCACAAGTGCTAAGTTAGTCAATTCCTCCTTGTATAGGTCAGACACTTGCTCGAAAGCATTTTTGACAGGATGCTAAAGGTTATCGTCAATAGCTGCCATCTTCGCTAGTTGCATACTGATGTTCAGATGGTCGACCAGAAATAATTAGCAATAAGAAACTCTGTGAGCCAACGAACCAACTAAGGACCTACTGCCTAATTAAGATATATTCTGAAGAAGATGGATGGGGATCAGAGACGAACTAAGTAGACCACCGAACGACACCACTCTCCAGGTTATAGGTCAAGTGGATCTCGAATGAGAAACGACGAGTTGGGCGTGTATCCGAGGATGACATGGAGGAGATCATACGACGAGGAGATGAGAAACAATAGGCAGTCCTAGGACGAGCTAAAGAGGGCTCCAGAGAAGAAGACAAAGTGAAGATATCCTGTTATGCGCCTATATTCCCTTGTCAGAATCCAGCGAAATAACAGCAAATAATGAGTAATATGTGTATGTTTCATTTATCATGATTATTATATCCTTTAATTCCTAGAGGAACATAGGGCTTCAGCCGCCCAAGTCTCCATTGCCTTCAGTTTTCTGCCAACATTTTCACCCCGCTACAAGTCTGCCCACATGCTTTCATCTCCTCTTCACATGACCTCCTCCAAGTCACCCCACCCTTGCACTGACGACCAACTCCCCGCTTCCCTTCCGGCCAGGTTCCACTCGACCGATGGCTTGTCTAGTGATGTCACTTGATGGTTTGTTTCCTCAGAGTATGGCCAGCCAATCCATCTCCATTTATTCCTGACTATTTGTTTCACAATCGGTTCCTGCTGAGTTGGTTCGCTCATTCGCAGAGATCCCTCCCTGTTGGTGATCTTTTCTGGCCGGCCATCTTATCTTGAGTAGGATTGAGCGAAGACAATTGTTGATGAAGGTCTGTAGTTTGTTTGAGATGCTCTTTATGACGCACTGGCCAAGTCTCTGATCCGTGTGCTAAGTAGCACTGACTGACTTCACATTGGAGTTGAAAATCCGGATGTTATTTTCAGTTTCATGTTGAGTGGGGCTGTTGATTTCCACACAGATTTGACGTGAGTAATGAAAGCTTGTCTTGCTTTTCCGATCCACGCTGCTTTGATATCGTCGTCAGTTCCGTCGGCCTGTAGTTGAAAGGATGCTTCCCAGGTAGGTAGATAGGTAGAAAGGTGGAGGAGGAGGTTGTTTCTTTCAGGTTCCTCCCATTTATGCTGGCTGATTGTTGTCTGTTGTTGTTGATGTGGTTGTGGCTGTTGGTGTTGGCCAGAAATCTTCATATCCTACCTCTGTTTTCTCTGTGTTCACCTGAAGTCCCTTCTATCTTTGATGCTTCTTCTGTGGCCAACTTGTTGCTTTTCACTTGCATATCTTCCAGTTTGTGGGAAATCAGACATATATCGTCATCGGCGAAGTCCAGATCCTCCAAGTCTCTTTTTGTGTGAGTCATTAATTTAGTCCAACGTAATCAATTAATAACTAATGCTCAAAAGAAACTCACATATTTGTTTGTAATAAGATACAGCACTGAAATTGTTACCGAGGCTAAAAGAATTGCGCTTAACAAATAAATTAGTAGTGGGAAGATAAAAACTGTCAAGTCTCGTTTAATTATAATTCCAATGAGGATAAAACACAGACACATTGTAACTGATAAAGTCCATCGTAGCATAATCCATTTAAATGAGATATCCACAAAATCCAAAGCAACTGAATAAGACAATGACATTATCTAAAAATTTAAAGAAGAAAAGTTAATCGATTGATTTTATTTTTCATCTGAGGGTCAAAAAAATTTGTTGAATAATATCTTATGAAAAAGAGAAGACGTTCAGCGAAGAGACTGTTTTCGGAGAATTCATTCACATAGCTCTACAATCGCATTTATTTATAATTATTTGTGTGTGTGTGTGTGTACATGGGGTTTGCCAAGTTTATATAATTGATCAAGTAATAAAAGAATGATCTAATATAGAAACAAGGTTAATTGGACAGCAACTAAAGTAAGATTGAGTTAGTAAGTTAGATGACGTAGTATAATTGCCTAAAATGTTTCAACTTAGGTCATGGTAGCAACAGAGGTAATTACACCAGGTAGAGACTAAGTAGAAGTGGGGTAGGTAATAATGCCATTTAAATTAGAACTGAAATTGAGCAATTAGGTTGGATTAAGTAACATAAATGACTAGAAATTGAGCGTTGGTCAAGTCAGTAACCATGTGGTGGTGAGGTGTAGGGTTGAGAAGACAAAATAACACCAATGAAGAGACAGAAAAAAAAAGATTAGATAGAATTTACTTGTCGGGTAATGAGATAGATTAAGTTCATTGCAAGTGTAGTGATTGAATGAACTTCTTCTGTATTCAGAGTTCAAGGCTTAGGAAGTGAATCGCCATTGCTTCTGCAGTTTGAAGAAGTCTGATTCGTACACCTTTAGGAAGACTACCTCTTACTCTGTCGACGACTTTGAAGTTTATTTTGGGTGCAGCTTAGTGTCCGGATTCTATCAGATGTTCTAAGATGAAGCTGCAGGGATATCGTTTTTCTCCTTTGTAAAACCGTGTTGGTAAGTTTTCGGTGATACTAACTGACTTAATAACTCAATCTTACTTTAGTTGCCGTCCAATTAACCTTGTTTCTATATTAGATCATTCTTGTATTACCTGGTCAATTATCTAAACTTGACAAACCTCATGTACACACACTCAGACACAAGATAATTATATATAAATGCGATTGCACAGCTATGTGAATCAATTCACCGGCGAAAACAGTCTCTTCGCTGAACGTCTTCTCTTTTTCATATGACTAAATGGGGATTTTCAAGCTAATACCTTATGGATAATTTTTATACCAGAAGTAACTTATAAGCGAAAATTATTGATGTGTAAGGTTCTGAATGGTGATTTTGAATAATTTAAGACAAATATCCTCCGATTACATTGGTTGGTGGTCGTGCTAGAAAATCACGAATTGATAGAAGTTAGAATTCACGGGCCATTAACTTAGGTCCCAGTGGCTGAATGGTCTGCGATCTAGACTTGTAACCTGAGGGTCCTACGTTCGAATCCCGGTGGATTCGTACTACGTGTGTGTGTGTGTCACAAACTAGGACGAAACAGTCGTTCAGCTTCTCTAACTGCTATCCATCCCTGGTTAGACTTGAAAAAAATCAAACTTACGAAACACGGTACCCTCAGGCAGTCACTCAGTCATTAGCTTATCTAAGGTGTGATGATTGATAACGCAACAGAAATCAAAACGGCTTAGATGCTCGGAGGTATTCTCTAAAGAGCAATATATTTAGGTGGAAGAGGACTCTGAGGATCTAAGTGTTAGGCAGCACAAGGAGAAGTAGAAAAAGGTATCCGAACCTGGTCGGATACATACCCGTTAAGGCGAAACTTAATACGCCTTAAACATTTGAGGACAATTGACTACTATTCCCTTGGGTTCCGAGTGGAACACAAGGCTTCAACAGTAGATCTCCATTTTGTCTTCTTCTCTGAAGTCTTCTTTAGCTGTTTCCACTACTGGCCAGTCTCTCATCTCGTCTTCACACCATCTTCTCCATATCGTCCTCAGACTACGGCCCAACTCATCATTTCCCACTAAGGTTCGACTCTAGAGCCAACGTCACCCAACAGTTCTTCTCAGCATGCGTGCAACCCATCTCCATCTTCTTCGGAATATTTATTGAGCGACAGGTTGTTGATTGGTTTTTTCCCCAACGTTGCTTGCTGCTAACTTCATTTAGCTGGCTGTCTGGTCTTCAGTATGCAGCCAGCGAAGATGGCAGCTTTTGGTAAAATTCCTCAGTAGCCAGTTGGAAATGCCTATCATGACGAGCACGTCAAGTTGCTGATTCACATAGAATAACTGTTCAACTTGGAATTAGTGCTGAAAATCGGAATTTCATCCTTTATGCTGATTGCAGATGAATTTCAAACTGATAGTGATGAAGTTCTGCATCACCTTTCCGATCCTGGTTTTGAAATCCTCATATGTGCTGTCCGCCTGTATTTGAAACGAAGTTGGCTAGATAAGTATAAATATATAACTTGCTCAGGGTTCCTCTCATTGACGTGTGTGTGTGGCGGGGTTGTTCTTCTCGTTATTTTTGGTTTTTATGCATTTTGATCACCTCTGCCTTCTCTACATCCTTCGCTGTCCATCTGTTCTTCGAACTTGTTGTTTTTTACCAGTAGGTCTTCGAGTTTATGTGACATTAGACATAAATCACCCGCAAAGTCCAAACCTTCTAGTGTCTGCTTATCTGTCGAATGTATTGTTGTCTTCTCTCTCTCTCCCCATATGAAGGCGATCTAGGAGTATATTTAGTTAATATTAAATTAATTCGGTTCAGTCTGTTGATTCTAGCCTCGGTTGTATCCAAGCTCCATGTAAGGAGCACTACAACTATATTAACACAGTGACCAATTTTTCAGTTTGTTATATTTGGATATCCTGTGAGTGGGGTTTTTTTTAACTGTAACATTGTTTAAATTCAAATGTGCTTCAGTGGCTGGATTTTATTTACTTTTGTTTTTGTATTGTAGTGCCTTGTAGTATACAATGTCTATCTTTAGTTTCAACTGTTAAATTATGGTTTCTCAATGATTCTCTAACTGATGTCAGCGCGTATTCGAACTTGTAACCAATCAAATCCCTTCAAATCACCACTTGAAAATAATCTAATGCCCACTAGCTACTGATCCTATTCAGGAAGTTAACCTGAGGTTTTAGTGGGAAGTCGTCTTTGACCAGTAGGATATATCAGGTTGAAAGTGAAACAGTAGCTCATCGAACAAGCCACTGCGAAGTGGTCGCGCCATATCTCGTGAATTGGAATAAGTTGGAATTCATGAGCTGACTATGAAATCTGGTCCCAGCGGCTTAATCGTCTACCACCTTGTTCGCCTTGTGACGGGAACCTTGGCGGTGGGTCCCTACCTCTGGCGAGTCCGAAACCAGGCTGACGAAACCGATGTCAGTTCATGAAGAAATCCTGTAATTAACCTTTTATTTAAAGATCTTCGACGAAGAGAAGTTATTAGGTAATAAACTCTACTGAAAATTCTGTACATTATATAAACATTGTCTAGAATGAAGCTGTTATTCATTATAAATTATTTGAATTAATCCCAGAGTGTTTAAGAAAATCAAAACAAGATTTTTTCCTGAACGTTTCGCTGTGTAAGCCACAGCTTCTTGAACAGATTTATTCGGATTTTTGAATAAATCTGTTCAAGAAGCTGTGGCTTACACAGCGAAACGTTCAGGAAAAAATCTTGTTTTGATTTTCTTAAACACGCTGAAATTAATTTAAATAATTTATAATGAATCAATCTGACTCGGCGCTCAAATTATTCCAGGAAGTTCATAACCCCCTGGGTCTGGAAACTTATAAAGCTGTTATTGTTATCAACTTCAAAATATTACCGCTTTTAATATGACTGGGACTTTTCATTAAATCAAATGTCGATATTATCTCGCAGTCAATATTCAACAGAACTACTTTTTTGTCAGATCAAATTCAGAATTTGTCTTTCTTAATTAAAACTTACCAAAATAAAGTAAATTTTATTAACAATGATTCTGAGAATAATATAACTCATATGTAAGTACGTATTATTATTATATCCTTTAATTCCTAGAGGAACATAGGGCTTCAGCCGCCCAAGTCTCCATTGCCTTCGGTTTTCTGCCAACATTTTCACCCCACTCCAAGTCTGCCCACATGCCTTCATCTCCTCTTCACATCACCTCCTCCAAGTCACCCCACCCTTGCACTGACGACCAACTCCCCGCTTCCCTTTCGGCCAGGTTCCACTCGACCGATGGCTTGTCTAGTGATGTCACTCGATGGTTTGTTGCCTCAGATAATGGCCAGCCAATCCATCTCCATTTCTTACTGCCTATTTGTTTCACAATCGGTTACTGCTGTGTTGGTTCGCTCACTGACAGAGATCCCTGTTCCTGATCTTTTCTGGTCAGCCATCTTATCTTGTGTTGTGTTGAGTGAAGACAGCTGTTAATGAAGGTCTTTAGTTTGTTTGAGATGCTCTTTATGACGCACTGGCCAAGTCTCTGATCCGTGTGCTAAGTAGCACTGACTGACTTCACATTGGAGTTGAAAATCCGGATGTTATTTTCAGTTTCATGCTGAGTGGGGCTGTTGATTTCCACACAGACTTGACGTGAGGAATGAAAGCTTGTCTTGCTTTTCCGATCCACGCTGCTTTGATATCGTCGTCAGTTCGGTCGGCCTGTAGTTGAAACGATGCTTCCCAGGTAGGTAGGTAGGTAGGTAGGTAGGTGAAGGAGGAGGAGGTTGTTTCTTTCAGATTTCTCTCATTTATGTTGGCTGATTGTTGTCTGTTGTTGTTGCTGTCGCTGTCCACCATGTATTTTCATCACCTCTGTTTTCTCTATGTTCACCTGAAGTCCTGTCTTCTCTGGATGCTTCTTCTGCCAGCTTGTTGCTTTTCACTTGCATATCTTCCAGTGGGAAATGAGACTTAACATATCATCGGCGAAGTCCAGATCCTCCAAGTCTCTCTTTGTGTCAGTTCATTTTATGCCTGTTTCCTCATCGCCCGTTTTCTGTCGCACTATCCAATCTACTGCAATCAGGAAAATCATTAGCGATAGCAGACAACCAGCCTTTCGTCACTTCCGTCCTCACTTCGAAGGCTTCCGTAAGTTTCCCATTGTGGATTACTTAGCATGCAGCATTGTCGTATAACTGTTGGATGAGATGTATGATTCGTGTTATTTATACCATCATTTTAAAGTTTGATGTATACAAGGAAATCTTACCATTACAAACAATATGATGAAGTTGACTGGAGGATTCTTCACTCGATGTGGAATAGTGACCATCAGAATAGAACAAATGAAACCTATAACACTTAATAAGGCAATAAGAAATAAAAACTGCTTTTTTAATTTTGTAAAAGCTGCATAAGTAATGAGATATTAATAATAACTAAATGACATTCTTCCATTACATATTTCGATGACGTAATTGGGTACTGTATCACTCTCATAGATGGTGATATTTAGTAATCCTGAGTCTTGTGATTGTACCAAACAGTGTGAAAGTAAACAACGTTCCGTTTTCCAACTATTCTAGCTTGAATCAGATGACAGGTTTATATTGATTCAACAGGGTACTCGTAAGGGAATATTGCTGGAATACCTACAATAGCTTTGTACTTTTTCACATTGAATTTTTCAGATTATTGAGAAAAATTTTGATTTCGTTGAAGAAAGAAAGATCAGATTTGCAGTATAAAATGATGCCATCATTCTTTTTCACAGGTTCTCATCAGATGCAAACCAAGATTTGTTGAAAAACGCCTTAAAGGATTTATCCTTAAGTACAACAAACAAAGAGAATAGAAAGAGAAGTATCCAACAGTTGAAGAGAAGAAGAAAGTGTTCATTTACTTCTCATACAAAAGAGGAGAAGCAGCATCACAAAAGATTGAAAAGAGCAATAAAAAGATGCTTCCTTGCAGCCAAGCTGGTGACACTATACATCACTACATGCTCTTTAAGCCAATCGAAACTGGATATGTACCTTGCTGATGTTACCTCCAACTGCATTTATCAATTTACATGCACCTGCGGCAGTGAGTACATTGGAAGGACAGAAAGAAGGCCTTCTATCCGGTTTTCAGAGTATATTCCAAGAAAATTATGCTTGAAAGGAAGCAGATATATACAAATTTGCAATTACCAGACACCCATCCTGTGGATACGGGTCATTTTGTCCAGATTTCCAAATTCTTCAAAATATAAAAAATACAGAGGACAGTGAATCTACTACGATTTACTGAAGCAGTTGCAATCAGACGTTTCAGACCAAACTTATGCACACAAAAAGGGAGTGTAATCAATCTCTCACTCCCTTGGTAACCGTATTACTTTCATTACACTGATTAGTAATACACACTAGTGAGCTGAGCTCACTAAGCAAGTTTTCAAATTGATGAACTTTGATCTTCTTGAGTTGCATGTTGACGTAGAAGCTAACACTGTTAATTAGATTTTTCTGCCTTCTCTCACCCCCTCCCCTTTTTTCATAGTTTGATGGTAGCAAACACTGAAGTATGAAATGTTATTATTTATAACCATTGTTATTTCAGGTAGTTTGCAGCTGATGAGAACCTGTAAAATAGGATAATGATATCATCTTTCGCTATCGAAATTTATCAAGGGAACCAAATTTATGAAAGTTTGATTTCTCTAGATATTGGGAAACTATTAAGTAAGTCCTTTATGAAGTTGTACGTCTAAGAATCATTAAATTGGAATTTGAACTTATTTCAAATATGTCGATTAAAAATGTATTTAAACGAGGAGACTGTGTTAATTTAAATATCTTGTGAAACGGCGGCCTGCTTAAAACCAAAGCTACAAAAATTCCTCATCATTATATTGCATATAATTTCTCCTGTTGATTTTGTTTTAATCAATTAATGTGTGACTACTGATGGTATTATTTACTCTCGCGGGTATTTAAAATATTTACAATGTAGTAATTCGAACTAAAAAGCAGGCGTAAATTCAAAAACTGGTGGCTGCTGAATAGTAAAGGCCTAGCTCTTTGTTGTAAATATATACATCTTTTGAACTTTCCTGTCGCGTTCTGCTTCTCACCTCACCCCGTGTGCTTGATATCTGATACTGTCTGTGTTGTTCTATTATAGAACATGGCGAGCCGGCCCAACTCGCGTAAACTAAAGCGCGAAGTGAAGGACTCTGAATCTCCTGCTAATGCCAACACCTGCGACTCGGAAAATGGTAACAGAGCGCCACCAGTAATGTCATCAACCTCACCGACAACGTCGACGTCCACGCCTGCCCAGATATGATTCAAGCAATGGTCGCAGCGTTCAGAATAGCATTGATGACGTCGGATACACTTTCATCGTCCTCCAACAATAAACCTCAAGTTAAATTCCCAGCACCAGAAAAGTTCGTCCCAGGGGAATCATTCACATTGTGGGAGGAGCAGTGCCGTCGCTATATACAACAATTTGATGAAGAACAAAGAGCTAGTGCTATCATCTGTTTACTGTCGATACCTGCGTTGAAACGCCTCAAGCTAGCTGGCGTTGACACAGAAGAGACGATGGAAGTAGAGGAGCTATTTGCAGCTATGCGTCGAGCATTTGCGCCGCATACCCATGTTCTTGGGCAGCGGGCTGCTTTTCACGCATGTGTCCAGCAGAGCGGCGAAAGTACAGAGGAATTCCTCTGGCGACTTCAAGAGTTAGCTCCAGTGGCTTTTGAAGGAGACTCCGCAACCGAAATCAGCTCCCGTATTCTCCACCAATTCGAAGAAGGGTTGTTGCACGACGAAGTACGAGAAAGGGTCATCGAAAGCAACCCTACATCGCCCGTGGAGGCTCTACAGGTTGCCAAACAGAAGGAAGCTCTAATTAAGCTTCGTAAGAATCGGCGACCAACAGACGGACCCTATACTCAATCACAATATCAAGAATCGAGGACGCCTCGTGAGCATCGTACGAAACCACATCTTGAGTGGAGGTCCCGATCTTCCCCGAAAGCAAGACAAATTCCACACCAACCACGTCCAAGGGGGGCTGGATAAACTCTCGCCTCCCAGAAGAGATTGGTGAGTCTCCCTCTTTTTTATCTAATGTCATGCATTATCAGACGAGCCATATGTAGCTAAGCAACTGCCCACTGTTCTAGTTAAGTTTTATGACAGAACTCTCGTTGGGTTGGTAGACACAGGTGCAGCTCGCACATTGTTGTCCAGCAAATATTGTAATGCTATGGCCAAAACTGCCACACCCCACCTTAACATCCAAACGGCAAATGGGTCTCGTATGAAAGTGGCTGGCGAGCTGTTAGTCTTATGGGAAGGTAAACATGGTCGTATGTGGCATCCGTGTTTGGTAGTTAACGGATTGTCGTGGGATTTAATAATAGGTTATGACCTTCTACGCGGTTGCAACGCGTCAATTGATATTGAATCCCAAAAGCTCACCCTTCTAGGTTCTACATTACTATTTGGAGCAGATATTAATAATACCTGTTTACAGCTGAGTGTGAATGCAATTGATACCGCCCTGATGGAAAGTATGCTAACACAGGTCCCGCGAGAGCACAAAGAGGCGGTACATCGGTTAATGTCCGAGTTTTCGGAGGTCGTATCTTGGTCCTCGACTGACCTGGGAAGAACCACAGCTATCCAACATACTATTGAGACCGGTAGTTGTGCTCCAATACGGCAAACACCTCGCCGAGTCCCAGCTAAGTTTCGTCCGCAACTGGAAAGCATGATTGATGAAATGCTACAGAAAAAATAATTGCGCCGTCGAACTCACCGTGGGCTTCGCCTATAGTGTTAGTTAAGAAGAAAAACGGCACCCTGCGCTTGTGTGTTGATTACAGAAAATTAAACGCAGTGACCCGGAGAGATGCTTACCCATTGCCTAGAATAGATGAGACGTTAGAAGCATTATCAGGTGCCGTCTGGTTTTCCACCCTTGATTTAGCTTCTGGATATTGGCAGTGGAAGTCCACCCTCGTGATCGGCACAAAACTGCTTTTACTATACCCACCGGTTTATATGAATTCCAGACCATGCCGTTCGGGTTAAGTAATGCACCAGCCACGTTTCAACGACTGATGCACACAGTACTCAAAGGATTAGTCCCACAGGTGTGCCTCGTATATTTAGATGATATTATCGTTTTCAGTCACACCATCGAAGAACACCTTGAGCGACTGCGGATTGTCTTGGAACGTTTGAAGGAGGTGGGACTCAAAGTTCAACCCACTAAATGCCGTTTATTCCGAACCGAAGTCACTTTCTTGGGGCATGTTGTCAGTGCACAGGGCGTTCATAGCGATCCTGAAAAAGTTGCAGCAGTCAAAGAGTGGCCCGTACCTAAATCCGTGAATGAGTTACACAGTTTTCTAGGGTTGGCCTCTTATTACCGCCGGTTCGTGAGAAATTACTCAGAGTTTGACTAAGAAAAATATTCCCTTCGTATGGACAGAGGATTGTGACCGTGCTTTCCAACAGCTGAAAGATTCATTATGCTCGGCGCCCATTTTAGCATTCCCAGATACATCACCAACGGCTGGTAAATACATCTTGGACACGGACGCTAGTCACACATCCATCGGAGCCGTGTTATCTCAGGTCGGTGGGGATGGCAAAGAACATGTTATCGAATATGGCAGCCGCACGCTGAGCCGTGCAGAGAAGAACTACTGCATCACCCGTAAAGAGATGTTGGCCGCTGTTACCTTCGTTCGTAAGTACCGACCCTATCTACTTGGTAAACCGTTTGTTTTGCGAACGGATCACAAAGCTCTTCAGTGGTTGCAAAATTTCAAAGACCCTGAAGGACAGACAGCAAGATGGCAGGAATACCTTCAGAGTATGACTTCGAATGTGTACACCGTCCTGGCAAGCAACATGCCAATGCTGACGCGCTATCCAGGCGCTCTTTCAGACCGCACGGAGACTGCCCGTCTTGCGAGAGTATTGATATTTGTGCTATTTCGTTGGCAGGTCTAAGCAGAGAACAGTGGGCACACATCCAAGCTACTGACGATGAGACTGCACTCCTTTATCATGCCCTGTCGAATCAGACTGGTAGGCCAGTTGAAGCTGATGTGAAAGGGAAGAGCTGGGAAACCAGATGTTTGTGGGCCTTATGGGATCAGTTAGTACTAGTGAATGGTATCCTGTGTGTTCAACCCGGCCCCAACTACTTGAGAAGAGTCGTAGTCCCTCAGTCGTTTGTAACAGCAATTCTGGAGACTATACATTATGATTTGGGACACGCTGGAATTAATAAAATGTTGCAAGCAGTTACCCAACGCTACTGGTGGCCTCGCCAACGGCGCGACGTC